CTGCATATGATTTTTACAACCAGCACCCTTGGTGAAAGCGGTTTTGTTCCAAAACAAACACCGCAAAGTACATATGCAGTTACTCCAAGGGAAATTGATTGGAAGATGGTTGTCTTGATCATGATCAGTTTATTATTTTAGTTTAGTTATTTTATTTTTTACAACATAAACCTACATAATATCCAATCTTATGTACTAATTACATCATTCTTCTTTGTTGCGATAGACTGATAAAAATACACGAATTACTAAAAATGTTGTAAGGTTATTATTCCTATAACCATGTGATTTCAAACAAAATTATTCAAATATTCATAAAAATACTCTAAGGTAATATTCTTATAGCTTCTCTAATTTACTGGGTGAATTGCTGTTACACCAAAAAATTTCTGGTTCATTTTACCCTCCAATAGATAACAACTACCTGTTAAGAATATCAATTTTATTGGTAAAAAAAAAAACTAGGTGACTCGTGGTGTATTTAAATAAGTGTGGGTGTGGGGTTGCCAAAACTGTTGACAGCGATGAATGAATATCTAAGGGCAAGAAATAAATCGGACCATTGGCAGTGGTGTTGAAGTGAATCATCAAGCAGCCGTGCTTGGCATAATACCAAAATACGAAGAAAAGATGGCCTTTGACATGTCTGATAAATACCCCGGCATGTTCTATGTCATGTGGTGAAATCATAAAGTCAATAGTCCGTGTGGTTGATTCTCTTTCCGAAAAAAAAAGTCAGTACATCCGTACAAGTCGTGGGAAGTACATGTAGGGATGTACGCAACAGCCTGACATTAAAAGGCGACCCCCATGTCAAACTCACCTCTAATTCATCGTCGGAGATTTTATCGTATTGGTCGTTCTCCAACTCGAGATCGAACACTCCTGCCATGTTGTCAAAAACTTCTTAATAAAAACTGACAAAAATTGTATGCGAATCCATGGAAACCGCTAAAATCCACCAGACACAGCCAAGCGATTTCAGCAACGACCCGGCTTATTGCATATTCAATATGGCGTCGATCATGTGACAGAATATACTGACCAATAAAAACGCTAGATTGATACATAGCTATCATTTTTGTTTCTTCGCCGAAACAATACACAACTTATCGGTGATTTTATAACTCTGGTTATCTTTGAGTGGATTATACATTTTCTATCTGGTTACTATTATCAAATAGTACACGGAAATAAACTAGTATTCCGGCATCGTGGATTGTAACAGCGCCCTCACTAGGCGATATTCAGCCAGTTTTACGCTTCGGTAGAGTTTGTACTTGAGTTTGCTTTCGTTTTTATTACCCCACAACCGCGCATTGTTTTTATTCCCACGTGAAATAATATCCAGTGGATCAACCCGATTCCCACGTGTATAAGTTAATTACCATTCATATTATTAATAACAAGTATTCCAATACAGTACGATGATTGTATATAGCTATTTGATAATATTCCACACGATTTCACACTTTTCACGCTCTGCTGCACTTGACGTTGATATTTGGTGATATTGGACTTGTAATTCGCCATTTTGTGTATTACATCGTGACTTTCTGCCTGACGTCGAGTACGCCACCTGGTCTTAGTAACATTGACCAGAGTCACTAATCATATGCAAGTATGAACATCTTACTGTGTACAGCAACTTTCTAGTACATGTACTATGCAGTGGAATTGTTTTGTTGTTTCTATTAACCATCTCATTAACATTTGAATGGACTATGGAAACAAACAATACTCTATTCAGTGTGGGGACATTAGTGAATTTATCATTACCAAGAAGAACTGAGAATTACTTCGTGTAATATCAGAATTATATTTAATAAATTAACAAAGCTGCGTATTTCAATGAACAATCCAACTTTCAATGCTGATATACTTGGTGTATCAGAATCCTGGTTGAATGATGTGTATCACGCGACAAAGCTCGATCGTGTAAGCAAAGCTGGTGTAGGTGAAATGATGTACTTATATTAAGTATATTCCCCATTCGCAAGAAGGTACAATCTATTGTATGAAGATCATCTGGAATAAAGTACTGCTGCCAAAGTTCCCGTCATTCCTGGTTGCAATGGTTTATAGCTTGAGCCCCCTCTAACGCTGATATAAATACAAGTATATATCAGTAAGCATGTGCTTAAAACAAAGTATTTATCATTGCTGGGGATGTTAATAATGATTTATCTAATGGGTTAAATGATACCTGTGAGAGAAACTGATCATGTATATGTCACTCACTTAGAAAAATATCCGTTGAATCTGTCACGGGAAGTTCCTTTCATTGGAATCACTACGCGACATATATTGTACATACAATAATCGTCAATACTTCTGTTAAATATCATTCTTTCAAACACTTTAATTGTTCAGTTCCTAACAATGATTTAGTTCTATGAAATGTCATTGATATTTACAATGATCCAAACAATGCGTACTATTGGTCAACACTGTTTATGCAGGTGGTAGGTAAACATGCTCCACTAAAGAAGCGCCGTGTCAGATCAGATCATGCCATTAATTGCAGACAGGGATTCGTTTAAGGCTGTAGGTGGTTATACCAATTTTAAGAATATGTTAGTGCCTTTATTGTGAAGGCTGAAACTACATATTTTAAGTCAAATATTGAAAGGTGAAGTGCCAATACTAAAGGCTTGTGGAAATATTTACGTGAACGGCGCACTCCTTGTAATATGTGCAAAGATCCGACCATCTTACTTGGTGAGAATAGGGATGGGATTTCTAATCCACTTCAAATATCTGAAAAAAATTATTGCTGATCGATTTATCACTACTGTCACCACAATAATTTAGGTAATTATGTTAGAAATAATACAAGAGATAGTAGTTATCATATTCCTATGACTTCCAATGAGTTTGTCTTGCGCCATTTGGATAATTTTAAACCAAATAAATCCACTGGTGCTCGTGGTATTAATGTTGGTTAATCCCTGACTAAGATCTGTAATTTATGTTTTTCAAGTATATTTGTAGAGGGTATATGTCAAATAAAGATATTGTATGTATTATTGCTTGTAAAATATAATATCAACTAATGTACCACACAAACAGGTTATCTCGTCTCTTCTGAAATGATCTTGTAATATATTTTGCTATCGCTCTAACATGGTTCACCATAAAGTAACTTA